GATTCACAGAGGAGAGGGACAATTTCCAAAGTTAGTGACAACTGCTCAGCAACGCAGGACAGGGAGGAAAGTGCAAAAGTGCATGGCACCTGTGTGTCCCCTTCCCATCCAGTGCCCACCACAGGCATTACTAATCAATCATGGCATGCTTTCCCACTCAGCCCCGTTTCTCAGCATAGCAGTCCAACAAGTCATTACCAGTTGATCCCCTAGTTTTGTGTGAGTGGAAACCTCTCAAGGCCCATAAAATAGTGCTGCCCACTGCCACTAATGCAAAAATTCGTTGAGAAGGAAGGGCTCCCTGGAGGAGACTGGGATGAACAGAGAGCAGGTTCTAGGTGTGCGGACCAGGCTCCAGTGTCGAAGATTTTGGCACAGTCAGGAGGACTAGGCAGGTGGCAGAAGGGAAGCGGTGGGGGAGGAATTTTGCACAGATGGACTGTGAGGTCATAACAATGGATCCCAGGGCAGAGGCCATCTGTTTGTCTGTCTGCCCTCTGCCCCAGTTTTATGCATCTTGGCTAATGTGAGCAGCTGGTGTCTGGCCAGGTGTGTGCTGCCATCAGAAAGACAGGCTGGACTCTACAGGTGCTGGTGATGGGGTCCCAGCAGAAGGCAAGGCCCTCCAGAGGAGGCCATTATCTCTCAGATCTGCTCAGCCTGCAGAGCCGCCCAGGCCAGAGCCAAGGCCCAGGCGGGGAGGAGGGATTCTTTGACACAATGTCAGGGTCTCTTAACTACCCATTGGCAGATTCCCTTCAACACCACCTGCCAGGCCCAGAGGCCCTCGGGTGTTGGAATAAGCAAGTGACTATGAACTCTAAGGATGCAGATTGACAGGACCAGGCCTTCCTTCAGACTTGAGTGTGTCGGAGGACCTCTGCTCCTAGCGTGGTCACTAGAAAGAGCTCTGTGGGAAGCCGGGTGAAACCAAGTAAAAGAGGTCTTTGCTTCAAGGCTTCTCGGAGCCTGAGGTGTGCGCAGACACGTGAGGATATTTAAAGTGAGGACAGAGCATGCAGCATCTCCTGAACGTAGTCACTCATGGAAACCTTTGTCTCAGGGATTTCTATCACTATCCCACGGGCCCAGTGTCCCATTGAACCCAATTCTGGAAACGCCTCCCACAGTTTTCCGTGTTTCCCACCACAGTTCTGCTGTGCAGCCCTCTGCTGCCCAGGCCCTCCAGCACTTCCTGCACGGTCCTGCCTCCACGCGGTTGCTTGTGCTGTGTCTGCCCTGGAAATCCCCTTTTTTGACCCTCTACCTTCCCATATTCTGTCCATCTTTAGTCCCATCCACTCCACAGTGTGACTGAACGACCAGCTGCCTTAGTCTCCTCAAAGAGACTGTTGCTGGCTCGTGTTACTCCTGTGTTCTCGCAGCATAGCCCTGGCTGGGCAGGTGGCACTCCCGGAGCCCTCAGCTGGTCAGTTCGGGCCATGGCAAGGGTGCAGACTGACTACACCCGTGGGCAGGTGTGAGAGACTCACCTCCGGGCTACCTTCTCTCCCCTCCGATCCCCATGCGCAGTTCATCAGGGGTAAAGCACCCACACGCCTCCGCGAGGGAAGGCACTGCTCCACCTCAGGAACTTGGCTCCCTTCCTCTCCTGCTTGATATGCAGGGAGCAGGGCCAGGAGGGAAGGGAACCCCCCGATCTACTTACATGTTCTCCTCCCCTGCAGGGGAACAGGGGCATTTTCTTATTATTAATGTCCTAACGGATGGTGCTTGATATGTTAACCTCTGTCACTCCGAATGGAGTCGGCCTAGTAACCGCTGTGACAGGATTGATTTTCCCTCAGTCAGGGCATAAGCATACCGGTCAGTGGGATCCATCCTCCGAGAGCCCGGGGAAGCCCCTCAAAGTGAATGGCCGTGAGTTGCCTCCATGTGGGAGCAGCTCCTTTGTGTCTGCTCTTCACTCTGCCTCAGTGACATGTCTTTTTCTCAAATCAGTTCCCGAAAGGAATTGACTAGTGCAGCTTAGGACCTGACCCCACCTTCTAGATGCTCACAGACACGTTGGAAAGATCAAGTAAACATGCGAGGGATACGGCATGCAAGGTGGGGAGTGGGGACTGCTGGCCAGGCTCTAGGCTGCCGGAGTGAGACGTGCCTGGCACCCAGGAGATGCCAAGCCCTGCAGGGGGAGGAGGGGCCCCAGGGCCTGAGCTGGACCTCGTGTGGATGGTATTTGGATATGCTGAGTCGAGGAAGAAGGGGATTGAGGCCGGGGAGCAGTGTGAACAGGTTGGGCGTGGGGTTCGGTGGTGGAGGAAGAGCAGGAGGGAAGACTAGTCTGACCCAGGAAGGAGGGCTGGTGATAAGATTGTAGATGAGGCCAGGTTCAAAGGAGAAGTCTGAGGGGGTATCCAAGAGGAATAATCTTTTCTACCCCAGCCTGGGTGTCCTTCTGCCCCACAACCCCTCCCACCCTCGCCACACTACTACAGAGGCGGACTTGGCCTCGGGTGGGGAACCTGGCAAATGCTGGGGATGGGACTGTTCAAGGCGAGGGTGTGAGCCTGGGGAGCCCTGCCCGGTAAGCCTTTAGCTCATTCACACTGTTGTCTAAATGCCACCTACTGTCTGTGTCTTTGTGTTGCCCTGTCCATTTCCACCTCCCGTGTGCTCGTCCAGACACCCATCAGCCTCTCTGCGCCCCCGTGTCCAGGCATCCCACTGCCAGTGGGAGTCTACACTGTCCTGTCCAGACCTGACTCAGAAAGGAAGGTTTTTCTGAAGATTTAAAAAGATCTTCCCAGTTATAGCAATGCTCCAAGTTACTTCCGTCTCCCACCCCTTTCCTGTCACCATGGATCCACGGGGCCAGAGGAACAATCTCCTCTTGTCAGGTGGCCTCATCCTCTTTTCATAAGTTTGAAGTTTCATAAGTTTGAAGATGCAGTTGTGGGGAGGGGGGCGAGAGGGGGTGGG